ATATATATAGTGAGTGAGGGAGTGTTAGTTGTCTATGCAAGCAGGTATAAATGGGCTGTTTACAGTCCAAAACTGCCAATATTAAGTCCACCATCGAACAACCTCCTAAAGAAATAGATCTTGGTATTATTTTTTATCTCTCTATTTCTAGTCAATGTATTACATTTGTCCGTAGGATTTAAGTTATTTACATTGACAGTGTAGTGAATTTTTTATGTGAAATTTAAACTGTTATAGGAGTTTTTATTCTAAGTTACTACCAATCAGTGCTTTTTATATGACCTTGTGTAAGTAAATACAGTCACTACATATATACATACATTCTGTTGTTGATGAAGCGAATGGGAATCAAGATAAAGTGCCAGCTTTCAAGGAATTTGGTCTTGCGGATCTCCGAGCTGCAACGAATGGGTTTAGCAGTGAATTGATAGTTTCTGAAAGTGGTGAGAAAGCACCCAATATAGTCTACAGAGGGAAGCTTCGGAGCAATCGGCTTGTTGCCATTAAGCGCTTCTCAAAGCAGTCATGGCCTCATCCTCATCAGTTTGTGGTGAACCGCTTACTCTTTTATACTTGAAGATTAGATTTTTTTTAAAAAACTTCTGTATTTTAGTAGTAGTTGTTGTTTGCTTACTTGTGACTTATTGTTAGAACTCAAAATTGCAATGTCAGCTTTGCTGTTACATCAGCTCCTAGATGGATTTATGCCCTTTAGTTTAAACTTATTGAAAATCTAATTCCTACTGGTACATCGCAGGCAGAGGCTGCTGGAGTGGGCAAGGTCAGACATAAGAGATTGGTCAATCTAATTGGTTGCTGTGCTGAGGGAGATGAAAGACTTTTGGTGGCAGAGTACATGCCTAATGATACACTCTCAAAGCATCTCTTTCACTGTATGGTTTTGCCTTATGCATTTTTTAAACATACATATGGTTGAATAGCGAGGAATCACATTTTCTACGTAGTTATAGTCTTCCAATTACCATGTGTTTCCTTCTATCTCTTGATAGATGTTCCATAACTAACATAATTGTGCTGTTCCACTCCTTAAATCTGAAGAGATCGTGCCATTCATAGTTGACCTTCCCTTGGCATTTCACTGACATTGATAAGCGCAATGGTTTAGCTGAAACTTCCCATTGAGCACCGTATTATGCTTTCACATAATTCTCTGTTGATGATGGAAGCTGAATGCGTGCTAATTCCGCCTACTCAAGCATATGCTGAATCAGCTGTTTGAATTTTGAAGTGAGGCATTTCCCTTTCAAAACCTTAATTACTTGCACACAAATTATATGTCGTACTAAGACACGAGATCAGAGGGTAGAGATATGAAGCATCTGCTTTGGCTTTGGAGATCAATCATATCACGTTGATTAGTGGCCAGCGGAATTCTTAGTCAAATTCATATTTATACTAGGCAACAAATGCTTAGCTTAGCTGTTCCGGTTGGGTCAGTGATTTTCTAAGCCATGTTTAACCAAAGCATGATTATCTCCTGACCAATTTGTTGAACACGTTAGATACATGTTGAAAATTGCTAGGTTACTGTTATTTAATGTGAACGGTATGATATGTAGCTGATTAAAAATGGAAATCCCTGTAACCAAAGGATTTGTCATTAGGAAATTACTTAATTAGTATAAGGTAGCATTAATTCATCACCTTACCTTTCAAAAAAAATAAAAAATCATCACTGAAATATTTTGTATGCTATACCTGCGCCCAAGCCGTAACATACAATCTGCTGGTGGCTCCTTGGGATCTCCTCTGTGGTGTGGCTTCTTGACTTAGGTCACACAATCATACCAAGTTGCCCGGTAATGCTGGTTTATTCACAGCACTCATAGAAAGCAACCAAACCTCATACAGACGTGACAGTTGCTGAGATAATACACGGTATTGATATTTTCTTCTCTTGGGCATTGTTGGTAATGCATAAAAAAAGGGCAGCCCGGTGCACTAAGCTCCCGCTATACGCGGGGTCCTGGAAAGGATCGAACCACAAGGGTCTATTGTACGCAGTCTTATCCTACATTTTTGCAAGAGGCTGTTTCAACAACTCGAACCCGTGACCTCCTGGTCACATGGTTTGTTGGTAATGCATAGCTTCTCATAAATACTCTCATACTCAGCAAGAAAAAGTCAGAGAAAAGTTCAGTTGCGAACCTGTGCACTCCTATTCTATTGTTGCTTCTATCACGATAGGGAATCATGTGATGTCTGAGGTTGGGTGTTCCGTTTCTCTAATGTTATAATAAAGCTGGCCAAATCTTGCGTCTTTTTTTACTGGATAGATGTGTAAGTCAAGGTTCAGAGAAGGATAAGAGTTCAAGAAAATGTGTAAAGACTAATTTCTTATTCTTGAATCCTTTTATACGCACCTAATCACCCATTTACAATGTACATAGCTATATATACGGGACACCAATGCTATATTCATCAAGAACGACCATTTATGCGTAACTACACTACAACTAGCATTTCAGGTTTCTCTATGATCATTGCATGGGTTTTGGATCTTGTGTTGCAGGGGAAAAACAGCCCTTGCCTTGGGAGATGCGAGTCAGAGTTGCATACCATATTGCACAGGTTCTGGATCATTGCAATGCTGAGAACAGAAAAATATATCATGATTTGAATGCTTACAGAGTTCTTTTTGATGAGGTATTCAAACTTCAAATATTGGAGTTCTATAATCATTTTCTGTATATAAGTGAAATAGATGTAGATAACAACCCCCCCCCCCAAAAAAAAAAAAAGGGTGAAGGGGAAGTACTAATTAGCTTGTTCTATTGTATGCTAGTCAAACCATATTTATTTTTGTCGCATATATAAGTCACATGACCTTATTATTTGTTGATCATTAGAATATTATAACGATATCAACTTTAGAAACAAATATTCGCTCGTTCTTGTTTTATATGGGGTGTTTATTTTGACAAGGATTCCAAATTTATTCTGATTATAAATTTGGTAGTGGAAGAATATAATACAATGATGGTTGAAGAAGCAGCTTGATCGGGAGTAAATCACATCAAGGTTAAAAATTTAAATAATTGGATGAATTTGAAATTTTGAATTCTTCATAGTTGTAAAAGTTGTAAATATATTGTAAACATAATGCCGGCAAATATGAAAGAGTGCTTTATGAATAGGAGTTATAGTACCGAGTTTCGAAGGCTGCGGTTGGTCCAAAGGATCGGCCCCAGACGGATTTCTCGGTCATCAAAAAAAAAATAAAAAATGAATAGGAGTTATAGTACCGAGTTTCGAAGGCTGCGGTTGGTCCAAAGGATCGGCCCCAGACGGATTTCTCGGTCATCAAAAAAAAAATAAAAAATGAATAGGAGTTATAGTAACTATAACTTGTCATTGGTTATTCTTAAAGCTTAAAGTGACATCATTCCTTCAATAAATCAAATTATGACCATGAATTTAGCATAGAAGCTGGGAACTTAAATTGATGAAACTGGAGGATATCTTTCTAAATTCATCATCTTTTGGTTGCTTGAGAACTTCATACTGAAAAACTATGCCAGAGTGTGGTAGTGTCGTAATAATTAAATGATAATTGATCCATAGGGAACTTAGCTATGTTATTTAACATATTCTCGTACCTTGTGACTTTCCAATTTCTTTGTTTGCAAGACTAATTTTTCTTACATATCACTTGTTTCCTATCTCTCTCTCCCACATACATACACTTATCTAAACATACATTTTGTCACCTAACTCTTGCAGTTCTGCAAGTTTCACTATATCTTGTGGTTTTGAGCGGCTTGTTCTTGAATTTGCTTAATTTAATTCATATCGCAGGATGGTGACCCTCGATTATCTAGCTTTGGCCTTATGAAAAACAGTAGAGATGGAAAGAGTTATAGCACTAATCTGGCCTATACACCTCCTGAGTTTATGCGTACAGGTGCGTGCCTTTTCCTTGCAGACCACCTTCCATTAGTTACCTGCGTGAAGTAGGCGCCATTTGTAAGTTAAAACTTAAAAGTAGGATTCAGATATTTCCTTGCAGTTGTACTGTAATGATAATGCAATCACCTAATCCTTACTCTAAACTGCCAACCATTACAAAATCAGAAGACTCAAGGTGCCAAGTACTTATTTTACTTGGTTTACTTTCCTTTTGTAGCTGTGGTTACTACATCTACCTAACTTGGCAAGCACATCTAGATTATGAGTATTATCACCATGGAGATAGGGTAAGCTAATGTAGTTGTGGCTTTGACATGCATTTCTTCATTGATAAAGTACATAGACTAATATCAAGATCTTTTGATTACCTACAGTCAATCAAGTATTTGTAGGATCATCATGTTTTACTAAATTTTGAATATTTCGATCACCTAGTGAAGCTTTGCGGGCTTGGGACTAGCTATGCTTTATGAAAATGACATTAAAAGTTTCCAGATACCTACCAAAAATATGAAGACGCTTTTATAATTACGTTGGATTAACCATGTTTGGCTGCTGCCATCATAGTAATACTGCGTCCGCAGTTGTAAAGATGTGTCTGCCTCAAATTCCTTCATAGATGAAGGAGATAGACTAATATCAAGGTCTTTTGAGTAACTGTCAAGTATTTGAAGGGTTCCTCATGTTAAACTATTTTTTAAAAATATTTTTGTTGCAGAGTGGAGCTTTTCGTGCTTGGAACTAGCTATGATTTATGAAAATGACATATACAGAGTTCTTGAATAACTGCCAAAAGTAAAAAAAATTTAAAAAAAAAATTGCCTTTCATAATCAAGTAAGAAAATACATATTCTTGGGGATCTGTTTGCTAATATAATTGGTTTTTGAAGTTTGAGACTTCGACAATGATTACATGCATTGAGTCCTTGTTCTTTGCTGCTTTCTAGGAATATATTTACCACTGCCTTGTGCTTTTTAAGCTCACATCTATGTTGCTCGGACTCTCCGAAAATGTTATCGGGTGCGTGTCGGATTCTCCAAAAATAGTGTATTTTTGGAGGATCCGACACGGGTGCGGCATCATTTTGGAGAGTCCGCGCAACATAGGCTCACATAATAACTGGTTCTATTCTTGTGCACAGTCAGCTGCCGTATTTTGTATTTTAACTTTTTATATTTAATTATGGACGTTGAAATTAAGCTGTTTTATTTACCGTAGTTGAAGTGTGAAATCCTCAAGTTTCAGAAAATTGGCACCGTGCTCAGTACCAAATCTTGTTATTTTTAGGCAGGGTCATTGCGGAGAGTGTAATATACAGCTATGGGACTGTTCTGCTGGACCTTTTGAGTGGAAAACATATTCCTCCAAGCCATGTAATGGTTTTTAGCATACACGTCTCTTTTATGATTGCTGCACCAGTTGGTTAAATTTGTTTTCAGTTTATGTTAGTCGTATTCAAAATTTCATGATGTATGCCAAAAATGGATTTAATGCCTTTCCAATTTATCTATATGGGGCTCTTTGACAAAGCTGTTAAGTGAAGATGTAGGCCACTGTACTGAATTTTAAGTACCAAAATTTCAGGAGTCGGCTGTGTAGAGCATACACTAAATGTAAAACTTATTAAAAGCTAGTGTTACAACTATTTATTGAATTTTAAGGACCGAAATATCAAGTGTATACAGTCTAGAGCTTACCACCAAATGTAAAATGAGTTAAAAGTTATATGCACCGTCAGTGTAAGAAATTTTTTACACCATCCACCTTTACCTGTTGTAGCAGGTAACACTGTTTAATTCAAGATTACTAATCCCACATTTTGAGGCTTACCTTTAGATATCCTTTGCGTAACCTGATAATGTAAAAAAAATTACAGTTACAGTATATATAACTTACGCTCATGAAAAAAATGAATTTTTCCTTTATAATCAACATGGAGTTGTAACGATAATGAGTGATATCATCATAAGCAAGCTGCTCATTCTTCTCAATAGCTTAAAAGGTTCACTATCATATTGAACAAATTCACCAATTCAATAGGCAAAAATCCTTAGTATATATATTGTTAGTATGTTTGTTATGCTTAGTTAGGGATTGTGCTATTAAATATCTAACTGGTGGCCTACCATGTAATTCTTCTTCTTCTTCTTCTTCTTCTTCTTCTTCTTCCAGGCATTAGATTTGATAAGGGGAAAGAATATGTTGTTACTAATGGATTCATCCTTGGAAGGACAATATGCCGATGAAGATGCTACTGCATTGGTTGAGCTTGCTTCGAAGTGCCTCCAGTATGAGGCTAAGGATCGGCCTGATTTCAAGTTCATTCTTAATGCTGTAGTACCTCTCCAGAAGCAAGGGGAGGTAGATTAGAAAATTTTGATCCTGATGGAACCTTTCCTATTTATGATGAATTGACCAGATTACTTATTCACATTTATATCCTAGGTTGTATCATATGTTTTAATGGGTCTAACAAAAGCTCCAGTGGTGCTTCCAACCATGCTTTCTCCTCTTGGAAAGGCTTGTGCAGGAATGGACCTTACCGCTGTTCATGATATGTTGCTTAAGACAGGTTATAAAGATGAAGAGGGTGCCGAAAATGAGGTGAGTTAATTCCTTAGCATACTACCACATATTGATGTAAAGGGAAATCAGAAATCGACAAACTAGATGGCAAGAGATGATAATTAGGGACATAATCCAAATAAAAAGGGTCTGGTTATCCTTTATTACATTGGATATGCTTCTTTTTATACATGGTTTTCTTTTCTTTCCTCAGTTTAGCCTCTTGTTTGTTTTGGAGAAGTTCTCAAGCTTAGCCGTTAATTGGAAGTACACATTTTATTATTTCTCTGAAGCAGGAGATCTGATTTTCTGGTTCTTTGTTTGTGTGATCTTTCATGAAGCTCTCATTCCAAGAGTGGACGCAGCAAGTTCAAGATATGTTAAACACCAAGAAATTTGGTGATATTGCTTTCAGGGATAAGGACTTTAAGAGTGCAATTGACTGTTATTCGAAGGTACTCTCTATTATTCTGACTAACTTAAAGAAAATGTATGTTTCTTTTTTGCTTCCAGATTCGTTTGATATTCTGTGAAGCTCAAACTGCATTCTGAAATACCTTTCATTATTTTGTAATGGCAGAATAGCCTAATCGTTTGATATCTACCTCTACTTGTTCAGTTTTGACATTCCGCTCCCAATACGTAACGAAGTTTCATCTAGACACCTCTACTCGTTCAAACGTAATATTTTAAACCCTTCTGACTATGTGTGTTCCTCAATCATTTTACTGTATTATCTATGTCAGATAAAATATTCCACGTCATTATTTTTATTCACGAAATCTATTTTTGAAAAAAAGATGGATCCTAACATTTTCTCTCACAAGCACCTTCACGCCTTTCTCTTTCTGAAAATCAGCCATCTGCCATTTGAGAACCAAAATTCATCATCTCATATTCTCTATCAACTCTAAACCAAAATCCATCATTTCTCTTTCTTAATATTTGCAACACTAAATCTGCCGGTTTTCCATAAATATACAGTGAACAAAAGTATCCAATTCAATTTGTGTAAAATTCAAGTCATAGGCGATACCTTCAGATTTTGACCCCAAAAAAGAAAAAGAAAAAAGACCATAGACTAGAACGACCCCTAAAAAATGGCCGGGAAATCCATAGCGACCCTTCCTCCATTTTTCTCTCTTTCTTACTTTCCAAAAATAATGCCAAAATCCCAACTCCTCCTCTGTACAATAGACCTTTAGACCAGTAAACAAGAACCTTCAAATTAGTGAAAAATCAAAATCACATCTCCTAAATCAAGTCACCAGAAAATTCACCATTTTTTAAATTCCCAAGTCTGTTTATTTTTTACAAAAAAATCCCTCTATTGTTGCCTATCTTCGACTTGATTTTGAGGCTAACTAGAAGANGGAGGGGGAAAGAACCTCGGCGGGGGTAAAAATTTTGTGCAAGAATAATTTTTTTTAATTTTTTCTATTCTTTTTATTTCTTGATATTTTTAATTAGAATCACCAAATCTTACTCGCTTCTTAAAGCGTGTAATCACGCGTTTTATCCAACTCAGCAAAGAAAATGCCACATATGCTTAGTCAATGGTCAGAAGGGTTTGAAACATTAGGTTTGAACAAGTAGAGGTGTCTAGATGAAACTTCGCTAAGTATGGGGACCAGGATGTCAAAACCGAACTAGTAGAGGTGTCTATTAGACTATTCTGCCTTTTGTAATTTCTGGTTACCTATTCTATGTACTGTGATACAAGTCTTGGGTATGAATTCCCATTCCGTCAAAATTATCATTTATCATATACAATTGAAAGGCTGAAAAAAGGAAACGCGACCAAGTTCTGGTTCTCATTTAACAGTAACTGGTGTTCAAGTAGTTATATTGGGATAACTAGTTGTGTTGCAAATGCATAAGAATACTCCATATGGTGAATAGTTATGAGAATTATCCATATCCTTTCCCAGCTTGTTTCTCCATGCTTTGCCCTTGTATTCCTCACTGGAACCAGAACTATTTGCACATTGACTACTGTAGAGGAACCTTATCAGTGAAATAAGTGTACTTCCAGTTATTTAAGTGAACAGGTTTTTTATCCATATTTTTTCCTGGTGCAAAATGTGTGCTAGATATTTCCAAAGAGATAGATAGGAACCGATTAGAGTTTTCCTGCCTTTAGAGGTCGAACTTGTGTAAAGTAAGAAGTTGTTAAACAGTAATAGGCTGTTCCTGTTCACGCTAAACTATCATTGCCTTCTCATTGTATTTTGATACTTTAGGCTATGTGTAGTTCAATTTTTCATTAGATGTTCTTCATGATAACTGGACTAAACTTGTATCACCTCTACATCTTGATATTTTGATTGTTTAACTGCTACTGTTTAAACATGCTCGTACTTTTACTTTATGATGAAAGAAATGATATTTACCATGTTTCCTGCTTTTTCAACTTGGATTTTTTAATCACTTTAAATAAACAAGATTAAAAATGATCACATTCAGCTGAAGGTGTAAGTAGTGCATATAGTGGAAAAACTGAGAAGGTTGCTAGAGGTGGTTTGATCATATCCTACATGTTCTATGTAGAACTCCAGAATCCAGATGCATCGCTTTGTAGGTGTGAGACCACGGTAATTGAAGGTATTAGAAGTGGACAAGGTAGACCTAAAATCACATGGAACGAAGATATCTTGAAAAAACTATAATCTCGTGGAATCCATGCAGAGTTGGAAAAACTAGAGCATAACGAATGAAAAAAATAAGATTATAGGTGATAGCAACTAGTTGGGATGCTTACTTTAGGTCCTATATTTTTTAAGAGTCTTCTTATTTTGCTAGAGATTTGTATGCTAAGTAGAAAATATAGAGAACTTTTAATGTTAGAAAATCTAAATTGTTTAATATGGGATTGAGACGGTCTCAATGGACCAACATGGATAGCGAGGATTTATTGGGATTAAGGTATAGTAGTTGTTGTTGGTTTCCAAAATTAAAAAATTCAGGGGAAGATGTTTAAAGCCTAAATCAAAGTAATAACTAAAATAATCTAATACCCCCTCTGTTCCTTTTTATGTGGCACTTTTCCTTTTTAGTCTGTTAACAAAAGAATGGTACCTCTCTATATTTTGGAAACAATTTGACTTTAAACTTCTCATTATATCTTTAATGACAAGCTTTTATAGTATAAAAATGTTCATGGCATGTTTAAGGCCATAAGTTCCAAAAGTATTCCATTCTTTATTAGACTCTTCATGAAACACTGCCATATAGAAATGAAACAGGAGTAATAGTAGTGCTCCGGGAATCCAGGTTCTTGAATATCATGGAGACTGGTGCGCGCAATATAACTAATGACGTAAAAGGTTGACAAGATCTTCGGGCTTTCTACTTAAAATGAATAACGGAAGGAAATGCTCTATAATAGACAAGTAATTATTTCCAAACATGATGTGCTGAAAAGGAGCAAAACTTGTCCATACACTTAGCAAGTTACTCCTTTTTTACATGCTTAAATTGAAAATCTGCATCAGATGTTGTAAGATAGTGCAATAGCGAGGTGTATTTGGACAGGAAGGAATCACAGATGCTTTGATGGCTTATCAACTCCCAATTGCTCCCTGAAAGCAAAGTGTCTTAGGAATCTATATAGCTGGAGCAACCTTTCCCCTGTAAATGAGTTAATTCCCTTTCTAGATTTTATTAGCTCTTTGACTTTGGCTTGATTGCCAACCTTAGATTTTTTATGTTTTTGGTTAGCTCCCTGACCAGAACTGTATTTTTGTGTAAATGGAGCTAACCAACCTCTTTTGTACTGTTTTTGCATCTTCTTGATGCCGGTAATATAACATCTTACTTCATCTAAAAAAAAGAGTAATAATGAGGTACTTCACAATTACATGCTTAAATTGGAAATCTGCGCAACTGCAGGCAAGCTAGTGCTTAGCACATCCAAACGTCTTCTAGTAGTATGTTCTAGAGTTTTTTGCTACATTCTAGTATGTGGCAGAGATCTCAAAATCTTCATCTGCTTAACACTTTTTATGATTCCTGGGTAAAATGTACCAAATTTCTAGTACTAGAAAACCCCTAATGTATTTCTTAAAAACAAAATATCAAGTATTAGAAAGAAATGGGTCCAAATGGAGAGGAATGAGTATTATTTTTTATTTTTTTTGATAAAGGAGAGGAATGGACATCCTCACGGATTCATATAGGTGACTTCAACTAACTTGGGATTGAGGCATAGTTGTATCATATTTTAGCATGAAATATGTTATATGTTATGTATATTTTGCTCTTTTTCTCTCCTCTTCACGTCACACGACATAATTCTTCTCATGATTGACTAATGACTCCAGGGTCAATTTTCATGTTTATCAAATGCTGTTGTCCATCTGGTTTGTAACCTTTTGAGCCCTAGCTTTGGCTGGATCAAAGCTGACTTGTTTGGCTCTTTTTTTTTCCACAGTTAGTATCTATGATGCCTGTTCTTTCTGGGACTGTTTTTGTGAGGAGAGCCCTCTCGTATTTGATAAATGGCCAGCCAGAACTTGCATTGAGAGATGCTATGCAGGCTCAGGTCTGCTTGCCCGAGTGGCCTACTGCATTCTATATGCAGGCTCTTGCCCTCTCCAAACTTGGAATGGAAATTGATGCACAAGACATGTTAAACGATGGAGCGTCCTTTGAAGCAAAGAAGCAGAACAGTTGGCGCAACTGACTATCACACAAAAATATAATGCTGAATCTCTGATCCTTCTTTCAAATTGGAGCCTTGAACCACAATTTATATGGAGGTGGGGTTACATTTATTTCAACCTACCCTCTCCTGTAGCAAAGATAGTAACATACTCAAATGTAAAAAAGCAGTCATCCGGTGAAAACCCTTGTAGTTTAGTTTCCAATGAATGCCAATTGTTAGTTTTTGGAACTCATTCAGGAAGAGTGCAATTCATTATGCTGTTCAGCTGTTCAATTATTGCCGAGGTGTGTACATTTAAGGGTGCTGATTGAATATTGCATGTTGACCATGATTATGCAGATAGAGGTTCTGTTTTCTTGAAGTATTTGAGGTAAAGTAAATATGATTCGCGAAGTTATACTACATTGATGTGCATTATATAAGGGAATTTGCTCATTATGATCTAGTAATAAAATCTGTCTTGTGTCTGTTGTGTATAGAATGCAGTTGAGTTACTCATTCGCTCGTTCATAACATTGTTGTTCCCCTAACCGTTTAGTAGAACTTGCGTGTTGCTTTGCTAAGCATCTTCCTCTGGCATAGTCAGGGTGAGTTTGAGCATCTTCCTCCTCCAGCTTAGTCATTTTATTTTATTGTTTTTTTTTATCTTCATCTCTCAAATAATTTTCCTGCAAAACTAAACTTATATTTTGAGTTTTCTATTGATGCAGCACAACACCATCTAATCCAGTAATCCCGCATTTTGTCGACTCCTTGGCTACAAAATATCATCTGTTAATAGCATGGACCATGAACCTCATCTAGTATATTACGTACTAGTTAGCTCATCCAAGTTAGGATAAATAAGCATGGAATCCTTTGTATTTACCTCAAATCATAGTATTAAATTTTCTCTACTCCTACAATAGAGCTGTTGTCTAGCGTACTTTGGAGGAACTTATACATCTCTTAATCTAATATTAGAATATCGGTATTCATCCATCCATATTAGAAATTTGCAATTTTTAAGTATCCGACGAACTATAAAGCTAATTTTAAATTTTTCACATTTTGATTAAATATCTAATCTATATATTATATCATGAAGTAGGAGAAAGTTTGTGCAGTATTAAACTTTTTATCCTCACCTTCCCTTGTGTTTTTACTCTGGCTTGGTCATTTGATTAATCAATTTCCAATGTATTCCAATTACTTGCTTTGAAAATGTCCGCTGAAGTTGAAGCATATCGTAAATAAACCAAATCTCCATCCGATGGTACTAATCGTTTCTTGGGAATATGTTTATGTGTTAAAAAGTAAATCAACATTCAGTGACGTGGATGTTTGTTATAAATGAGCTTCAGGAAAAATTCTGCTTCAATATTTGCATTGGTTGGTCTTCCAGATTAACTAACTGATAATGTTGTATTTAGCACTCATAGATGTTGAGGAACGATCATAAATTGAAACATATCAAAACATTCCAACTATCGATGGACAAATGGCAGTGCAAAGAAAGGCTTAGATCTTTGCTGATTCTGTTGTATGGACCAAAGTACCGGATTAACGAGAAGAATTAACCTAAATAGATGTCCGCCCAACCGTTTAAACTTAAAATACATATATGTATAATCCATATTATAATATATGTCCAATTGGCGTACAATACTAACCAGAAAAAGAAAATAAAGAGGTATCATGTAACTTGATTTTTCGTTAGATAGACCTGAGACAGTGTTCCAAAGAACACAGTTCCATGATCAGCTACTCACTAGAAAGTAGAAATCATCAGCCTAACAATAAACTTTAACTGCACCAATAAACATCATTTCACTTCTTTTTTGTTATTAGTTACATTATGTAGCATTCTAGTTATGCAACTAAATAACCTCCACTAGGTATAAACCCCAATCTTGCTCTTGTGGGAGTGGGAAACATCAATCCGCAATTTGGTTCAAACTGCAGCTAGAAAGTCTAATCGCTGATCCTCTGGAAGCAGATTGCAGGATTACTCGGGCCTATTTCAATGATCACTATCTACCTTCAGGATCATCAGTTTCCCGTCTCATGAAATGGAATCCCATTATATATCGGTATTCACCCGTCCCAAGGCAACGAGAACAGTAGCCAAGCCCACTTCCACCACAAGTCTTGCACCTAGAAACTGTGGATTAGATTGTTGGATCCTCAATAGATCAAGTAATAACAGAGTAATAATATCATAGTATTACAATTGGCAAGAAAATGAATAAATTGATACCTCACCATTTTGGCCATTCTCCCCCTGGAAGCACTTCTAGTTGCACAAAGTTAGTTCTCCCTGTATCAAGGGAATTGTATAGGAAGTTAACTAGTGAAAAATTAATTCATCTTTTTCCTCTTAAGAGTCCTTCCCCTTTTCCACTGTTTTACCAAATTCTAAATGTTAAAGTAAACCAAAAGAAGCCTTCTTGCGTCATTATCCTTTTCTTACTTTTATTTTTCCTTTATCTCTAGTACTCCAAACTAAATCAAGTTGGATCAGACCCAACCAAGACTTCAAGCACTCAATGATAAGAAAACCATAGCTCAAAGGCAACGTTAATGCATTTCTATTTTTAGTGTCTCAAGAAATTATGCACCTGCTTTGACCGTGAGATTTAAAATAATTTCTTCTGCATGTGTGCGTGTGAGAGAGAGGTTTACCTCTGCCATGGCAATCGTAGCACTCCACTCTGCCATTCCCTCTACAGACAACACAAGGAGGATCTGGCTGCTTTCTTCTTTCTTTGCGAACATTAGACTGCAACAAAGATTTTGATCTAAGCCCAATTATGGAAGCTTAAAACATTGCTGACGTTAAAGTAAGTGTTTATTAGGCTTTTTGGGTCGATCAAACCAAACAGAGAACAAAAATCTCTTCAACACGAACTAAATCACTAACTCAATGATCATATACTACAGCTTTCAGGTTTCTTCTTTCTCAATGATATTTAAAATACCACCGCTTTGCTTAATCTGATAAAGTGATGTGAAGCTAGGGGTTATCGCTTCATCAGTGAACTCATGTGCATTAGAGAAGTTTTCGCTTCAAACGATGGTGCACGAAGTGATTCCACCAAAAAGAATCGATCCCTTCTTTAAATCTCAACTTTGAGGAGTTGGAAAATTATGGGCATTATTGTACATTGGATGTTGAAATTAGTTATTTTAATTGCAATTTAATTTTTATAGAACTAAATTCATAGATGTTTGATATTTTCTTAATTTCCCAAAAATTTTGCGCTGCACTTCAAAGAAGCATGCATTTTTCTTCTTGGACGTTTTCGCTTTTTTGCACTTTTTGCTTGTAAAAGCACTGGTCTTTCCTTAAATATGGTAGTTAGACCTTGAAATAGGTTAGTTGATGATACCTAAGCATTATTTGGTACAGAACTTAATGTATTCTTTTCTTGCTCATTGGGAACTCCCTGAACAAAAAATACTTAGAAAGAAAAAAGAAAGCTTTCCAAATAAACGTTGACGCAATTTCTGTTCTTTGACCTTAATAAGCAAGTGACTATCTCTTTTTTTTTTCCCCAGGATTATCATTTCAATCAATTTTCCAATCCTTTTTGTGACACTTCAGCAAAGAGATGCAGTCTCTGATTCTGTATCTCCATTTAAATTCTCTCCCAATTACATTATGCTTTCTGGTTAAAAATTTTTTTTTTTTTTGTATTTTTCTGTTCTTCTATTATTCAACCAATTGAGTTCCTATAAGTAATTTGTTGCATGAAACCATGATGCACAAAGTCATGTTGGATATGTATTGGATAAACTATACAGAATTTGGACTAACTCCAGCTCAACCATCAAGTGAAAAATGAATCTTAAAACTTAGAGCATCAAACAAAATCTGTTTTAAGATTCTAATGCTGAATACAGCTATAAAATTTATTCCCGTATGTCAGCCATTCAATTTCTGGAACTAAAAGAACGTATACAAACAAGTAC